AAAAAAAAAGGAGAAGAGATTTAAATGATGATTTTTTTAAGACTAAAATTGCAGAGGCCTAAAAATAGGGGACCGAAATTGGCAATTGGTTCTGGATGGGGAACTTTCTTGGGATAAAAGGACCAATATTGGCTTTTTGGGATTTAATGCTTTCAACAAGGTGCCATTTGGAATAGAAAAACTTCGAAAATGCTTGCTCCACAATTTTTTTTTCCATTATAGACCAAATTGCTGATGGTGATATACCCTGGAAATACTCATCTTGGCCCTGGAGCTTTCAAAGAGCCTAGTTGAATAGTTGCTTGTTTTAATCTCGGATCCGAAAGCTGGTTACTCTAGTGAAGAGCTTGAAAAGTAGGATCAGCAAGTGAGAGTTGATATCACAGAATGGAAAGAAAGCCAGCGACCCTCATCATCCTTAATCTTAATCAATTGGTTTCTCTGTCTCCGCTGAATAATGGAAGCATGAAAAAAAAAAGAGTTCTTATCACCATACGCAGCCAATTCACTCTTGACCGTTGATGTAAAAACATTTCCTCTCGATGAAGAACATTCGAAATTTGCGCTTTTATGTCCCTCTGAGCTTGAATGTTAGTAGCCGAAGGATAGCGTGATTGAAGTTCAGAGAGTTTAGATTTCAAGCATCGAAGCACATCCTTATTATTCCCAAATTCCCTTCGGCTCCAGTCCTTGAGGACTTGTCTTCCTTTCTTTAATTTCTGATTCGGTTGATACATAGGGGAACCCGATGTCTGTGTTTGCTAATGGTGTGCAATAACTGTATGGCAATTTGGAGACGTTGTCCACATAGATTCAAACTTGAAGAGCCTCGGAACTTGATTTGGTGGGATACAAGAGTTAAGAATGAGAGGACAGTGGTCCGATCCGATAAAAATGTCATGGAAAACTAGTGTAAAAGGGAACATCTCTTTTTAGCCTGTTAATTCTAGCATCAGAAGATTCGGATTCGTCTACATTCCTTGTCCTTTCTATTGATCTATACATAAATAGAGTAACCATTAACATAGGGAAAGTCTTCATTGGTTTCATTTTTCATTTCATATCAGACGTGTTTATACTTTCATTTCGATTCAGATACGGTCACATGATCCTTTACTCTCATACGTTCATGTTCACATAGATTCCACATTCGGTATTGAAATTAACATTACATGTTATTCCACTTAACTTCTTTGATCATGCACTTCGGTTTCATTTCAATTCATTTTCAATAAGGATGTGTTCATAATAGTTCACATACTTACACATGATAATGCAATGTCTCTATTTCATTTCTAAGACATCCTATAGCTCATATGGACTCGTGTGTGCGGTATAACTCGTGCTCTGATACCACTCTGTCACGACCCAAACCCGCCCCTATAGGTTTAGTATCGTAACCGACCAGTAATCCTTGAATTACCAAAGGCCTCAGAACTGGTTAGCAAAATTTAGGGGTTAACGGAAGTAAATACATAATTAATATTGTCCAATGAGTTGTGCTGACTTATATGAAACGGAATATTTAAAACTTTATATATGCATTCAATAGTCATTCATACATTATACCCACACACATAGCATCTTGAGTACAACTAACAAGATCAAATCAAGTCTTATATATACAGAAACAATAGAACTTAAACACAGGACACTTCGGGAACCTCCACGTGAGGCACAGTGGTTGGCTGACAACAGAACACAGATCCAGACAAAAGCCTTCAGGCTCGATCTCCAGAATGCCCACCTATACATATATACACACAGTGAGCTAAAGCCCAGTGAATAACTTAAGGCAAAGAGGTTAGTGAACGAAATTTGAACATATCAGAAGCATAAAATAGATCATAGCATAAACATTTTTGTATTTGAACATAATAATGGTACATTCCATAGAATACATCACATAACGTCTTCCGACTAGAGTAATCGGTTCCGGATACCGATTAAACAGATATCACCACAATGAAGTAGCTAACGAGATCTCGTAAACACATGAATGTCATGGACCCGCATTAACATGTCGTCCCCCATGACTTGGGACTATCTGTGGATGCCATAATAGATTTCAAACATGGAACATTCGTTCACGAAAACAGATATCATTTCAGAAATCATAACTTATCATATTTCATTTGGAACATAATTTATATGAACGTATCTTTACAATAACGTTACTCACAATGGTTCTTGCCAATGGTCAATCAATCCTTGAGACGTTGGCCTACAGACACAAAAGCACATAACACCAACATATCTCATTATTACACATTCACATGGCCAACACAGCTTAACTTTCTTATTACATAGGTTTCTTGCTTAACACATTGTTTCAAACACACATCGGTAATCTCTTAACTTAGTACATTCTTTTCTTAGTGTGTTTCTAATCCATAACCTCATTACTATGGCTTAATTAAGGCTTAGGAATGCCTTAGATGCAATGAGGATGCCAAAACATGAATTGGAATATTTAGTAAATTTTCTGAAAATAAGGTCCCCGCTCGAGCGCAACTTTCCTCGCTCGAGTGGTCATGCAAATATGAGAGGGATGAGAGGGGTCGCTCGAGCGTGACTTCCTTCGCTCGAGCGGCCTGCAAACTTGGAAAAAGTACTGGTTGGTCACAATCTACGCTCGAGCTACAACTCCCATGCTCGAGCGGATCAACAACATGCAAAGGGTTCGCTTGAGCGTCCAAGTGGTCGCTCGAGCCGGCTGTAACGGCCTGCAAAACTACTAGATGCACGAAATGTCTGCTCGAGCGGCAAATCCCTCGCTCGAGCGACCTTAAAAAATCTGGGTTTTCCAAAACAGGGTTCTTGTGCTTCCAATGCAATTTCAATGACAAAATCGTGCATGACTTGTTCAAAACACTCGGAAAACTTTTCTAAAAACACTTGGAAAACTTTTCTAAATCACAAATATATGATCATTTACAAACCCTTAGCTCCAAACTCATGGATTTAGCCAAAATTGAGTTCAATCTTCCATGTATGTATGTTTCAAAAACTCTTTTTCTCCAACACCATGGTTTTAACAAAATTGAGCTCAAAGGCTCCATGCATGAGGGAAATCCTTTTCAAAACATGAATTTAAGCTTTAAAACACGATGAATTATACATGCATGTGCCAAATAACTCATGATAGCAACATAGATGCCCAAAATCAAATTCAAATGACAAACCTCTATATATATATACATGCATGTGAAATTATAATCAAATCCTTCATTTTCTTGACAAACATATGTAAATTACATGCAATGATCTTAACAACTCCATGAATTCATCTCTACAACACATAACTCTTTGAATTAACAGCCAAAAGCTTACCTAGAGTCTTCAAATTCTCGTGTTCTAGCACAATCTTGATGAGTTCAAGTTATAGCCTTCAATTTCTCTTTAATCTCTTCATTTCTCTCTAGAATTGCACTCTCTCTCTCTCTAAAATGAATTCTCAGATTTTGGCACTTAAGAAATAAGAGAAAAGTGCTAAATGTGTTGAATAGATAGTCATGATGATATAATGCATTAATTGGAACATTAGGCTAACAAAAAACAACCTAATTAATCGTTCTGAATCAATTTTTAATAAAATTTGCCACAAGGTTCTAAAAATTTCAAATAACACATTGACGTAATCAATTTCGATTTTCGGGTGCCGATAAGGCTTTAAATTTTCATATTAAAGCGGAATTCCAGACAGATATTTCTACAAGTAACAGATAGGGAGCCAAAGTCATGCAAATTACATAATAAACTTATAATTTATTTTATTCACTTAATTAACATCTTTAATTACCGATTAGTAGGGGTGCAACTCGGGCGGGCTCAACCCGAGCAACCCGAGCGCAGCCCGAGTTTTTTTAGGGCTTGGGCAACTATATCTTGTAATCTGACGGGCTTGGCGCAGATTTTTGATGCCCGAATTGCAATTCGGGCCGGGCTTGGCAGAACCAAATGGCCAACCCGAGCAACCCGAACCCGAATTCAATTAATATATTATATAAAAATTATATAATATATAATATATAATAATATATAATTTAATAATTATGTAATATATATAAATTAAGTAAAAGAGTTAGTCTTAATTTATTTTTATTTTTATTTTTGGTTAGTCTTCTATTAAGTAAAAGAGTTAGTCTTAATTTTTAATTTTTTATTTTTTTTTGGTTAGTTTTCTACCATTAGATTAGCATCTTTTATGTTTACCCTTAGATCTACCTACAGGGTTCTGAACTCGGGCAATTCGGGCAATTCGGGCAACCCGAGTTCAAAATACAAAGCTTGGGCCGGGCTTGGGCAACAATGCTCGGGTTCATGGTCGGGCTTGGGCGGGCTTGGGCAGTGCCAAATACAATTCGGGTCGGGTTTGGGCAGACCCCCAACCCAACCGAACCCGCCCGAGTTGCACCCCTACCGATTAGTGACTAATTGCGGACCAGGGTTACTACACTTTATGTGGGTGAATTGCGAGGGTTTTCTGGTTTGCAGTAGAGTGGAAAAAGTCAACTGGAGTCTCAGAGGTAAGTTTAAGAAGTTTGGATGGAAACTGGGCCTGGTGGACATCCTCTGGAGCTTTTTTCGTTTAAGTGATAGCCCATTGAAAACATGGGAGAGAAGGGTGGTGGGGACATTGGCACAGAGGGATAAATTTTTTGGGCAAGGAAAGGGCTGCGAGCTGGGCTAGATTCATAAAGGGGAGAAAGGCACTGAGAAAAACCAGAGGGTGGGCTAGGAATAGTTGATGGGCTCTCTGTTGGTTCAGTAACAAAGTAGGCTGGTCCACCAAACTGAGGACCAGAGCTATCTGGGCTAATAATCCTTGGTATAATTAAAGGAAATAAGTTAGGACTAGCCTCATCAGTTGGTGACACATTTTTCCTAGGCTGAGGGGTGGCCTTTCTAGAAGAATTTGAATTAAGCTTCTTCCCCAAGTCATCAAGGCCACGTACCCCAGGGTGGTACACAACGGCCTGCTCTGGCCCCGATCGTCGAAAGAGTGGAGGATG